AAAAAATCAAGTTGCACGACCTTCACGAATTGAATCGAAGAAAAAAAACCAGATTTTTCTTTGTTTAAAAAAACCCGGGTCGTCTCATTTTGTGAGCCCTTCACTCTATGTAAGCGAGATTTGACAACTTAAAAGAAAAACGCTGCAAATTTTCTGAGTTATTTAGGTAGAATCAACAAAAAACAGCAAAAATAAGACTGCTTACCGTTCCATAACATCCGCGACCCACTCGTAAAGTGACTCCCGTACATCAAAAAAGACGGAACTTCCCACGGATTTCATATTCACCTGCTCGCCAGCCTCCTCCATTGCATCCTGAAGAACAGCAGTTCAGTAAAAATTATTCTTGCTTCAAGTCGCATACTGAGCAAGGAAATGATTTTACTTCTTGTGAAGTCGATTTACTGAGCAAAGAAATCAGCTGACTGGAATAAAAAGGTAGCTGTTGACACTCGAAACGCTCCACAATTCGTTGTAATCTCAATCGGTTATTTTCCTCCATGCGTTGCACAACTTCCACCTTAATTCATTTTATCAATAAAACTAGAAGAGAAAAAGTAAGACTTTTAGAAAAGAAAGATGATCTATTACGATAAGGCTTGTACTATACCAACCGGTATAAGATCTGCAAACTCTCCCGTGACAGGTTCTTTAAATTGCAACGAAGCGCGACGTCTTTTGAGAGGAGGACTGAGAGATGCAGATAGATCCACTAAGGATTCATTCATTTCACTGCACTCATGAACACCACCGTTCTGCATCACATAATGGAATCCACTGGTAGCCGTTGACACCGTAAGGGGCGCTACTTTGGAGACAGCAGTGGTACAACGAAGCAAATGCTGTAAAAAATAACCAGGTGCTTTGAGAATTGAGTTTTCTGAAACGTATAGAAACTCACGTGTACAACAGTTGACGAAGTTTTGGGAGGATGACCATATGGAGTTCGATCTGGCTTGAGGACATTTGCAGTCGATGACACGACAGCCGTCGAAGCCGCTCCTCCTGGCATTGCAGCAATTGCAGCAGGCGCTGGATTAGCCACTTGCGATACTGGTACAGGGGCATTTCCTCCTGCCGGATGGCCCAGCCGATTTGAGACTTCTCGCAATGTTTTCTCGCCATTTGCACCTGTCACTACCTTAAAGAACGAAGCATTTCATGTAATCCGATAGTTATTAAATCTCTGTTTATATTCGGAAAATTCAAATATTATAGTTTCACTATAAATACAACATGTGTAGACTGTTTCTTGGTTTATCGGTGTGTTTATGGTGTGCTCGATCGGACATTTGTAACTGCACGCAGACATAGAGCGTTCAAGTTCGGTGATGGCAGGTAGCAGTACTGTATTACGTCCACTTGGGGTGGGGCGTACGTAAAGCCGTTAATTTGGATGTAGAGCGTTCGAATTAGGTACGAATCAGGCACCGAATTCAAATTACTGGTGGTAAGTGAAACAAAGTGACTGAAGTGGAACCACGGATGGCGTAGGGAGGAATGAGGGAGCACAATGTGCGTGAAATGAGTGTAGTCGGAGAAAGAATAGGCAGCCGAGTTGGAATAAGTGGGAACAACTAGTTAATTAATCATACAAAACTTGACCACGTCTTTGCATACGTCGGGCAGGGTACGCAGCCGGACGATTCGACCAGTTCTGTAATGAATGGGAGTCGATTCTAGGGCGCCTACCAAAAGTAGAATTGATAAATCAGAAGGACATCAGGTCTTGCCGAGCTCGTAGACATTTCAGTATCGCCAAAAATATTGATTCACTGGCAATAAATCTAATTGGACTTTTAGATGCTGCTTATTATTATGAAGTGTCCTAACGCGACCTTTCTTCCCATCCGGTATACAGTTTATCGTTGTAGAGTGAAAGTGTAATAATTCGTATGCCTCGTCTCAGATGCACGTTGACAGCGTCCGCATGATGTTCGCTCTTTTTCGGTTGTCGAAAAAAGTAAAACTTTTCTAATGTGAGCTAGTGCAAGGTTGGTGAGTGCCTAATTTATTCTAATTGCAGAAAGGACATGGCATCCAAAAAAAGTAGATGATAACTCCAAAGACAAAAGAAAATAAATTATGTAACCGCTCAAGTACGCACTTGGCAGAGCTTNGCACTTCCTCCATTCTGTTTCAATGCATCGGCATCAAGAACTAACCGCCCATCATTGACTCTCACACGCATAGGAACAGGAGCACCTGACAATGCTTTGAGTACAGTACAAAAAGCCAGTATGAACAGCTTCGAGTAAAACTATGCAATCCACTCATATTCAGCGATAAAAAAAAATTACCAGAGTTGTTGCCTAGTAAACTATCGATATCTTCTCCATCGCGGACAACAAGCACCATTTCGTTCTGAGCAAAGCCAGCACGTTGCAACTCAGCAGCGCTCACATCAACAACCGACGCAATGTCTGATGAGTTTGCAGCGCTGGGAATACTCTAAACAATATGAAATCATAATAAGAAAAGCGAATTAAGGAACAAATTAGAAGAGGTATCAATATGATCGAATCATACGCACCGTTCCAGTTGTGATGGGCCTGTGAAATCGAAATCCAGGCACTATAGGTGGACCACCATCGTTGGATTCAGCTAGTTCTTTGACTAGAGGTGTTTTACCAATCTAAATTGACAACTGCGTCGGGACCACTCACACGCGAACACTTCGACATTACTTCAGCGATAGAGTTCGAAAGTTTATAAATATCATCAAAAACAAAACAGGAAACTCAAATATCGATCAGATCGTTACCTACCGTTGCACTGCCAACCCCTGTGAATCTTTTCCGCAAGTCGAAAATTTCCGGAAGATCACGGCCGAAAACTTTCTCATCAAGATCGACAAGAAGTCCCGGTACATTCAATCGTAGATGATGTAGGCACATCGGCGACTCAACAGAGCGTTGCTCGAACAGATTGGGATGATTACAGCACTAAAATTTCAAAGTCGATCGAGCACACTGCATAAAAGTGGGAAAGTCACGCACCTTTCGTAACTGCATAACAATATTAAGAACGGAGAGTACGTTGCCGCTCTTCAGATTTTCGCGAGTTCTGAACAGTGACATTTGCTATGAATTTGAAAAAAAAA